CGCCCGCGACGCCTGATTTTTCTCCGCCGGTGAACACATACTGTTCTACCTCCTCAGACGCTTTCGCGTCGAAGCTTACCGGGGGATTCCTCGAATACCGGCTACCAAATTTCGTGCTTCATTTTCTCATCCAACCCTTCGCGGAGTGTCAAATTCGCGTGGGCCATCAAATTCAATTATGGGGTAGAAAATTTCCTTCAACTTCCCGAGTACCCGTGCCCCAGCCGCTGTTGACACGTCTCCACCGTGGCAACCAACGTGTCGATAGGAAAAATACACTTTCGTAGATAGAACAGAATATATTTTGTAGCAATCTCGTTGACAGAAACTATTTAACACTAGAAAGACTGAAACTTAGTATATACCTATATTGTCCAAAAGCAGTCAAAATGACTGCATTGTGAAAGAATAAAAATTAATTTTTAACATTAGGTTTTAATATTATGAATTTCAGACGCAAAAGAAATAAAATAAGTATCACTGCATAAAGATTCGAATAACAAGTACCAGTTTAGCTTATTGAGAAACTGCAATTTATCAAGTATACGCCCACATCGACAATTTATCACGTACTTGTACGTTATCATGTGTTGGTAATCGAAAAAAAATGAAAACTGTTATTTCAATACAGAGCCGAACTGGTCATATAAGAAATTTACTCAGTTCAAAATGACTGGTTTTGGACAATATAGGTATAACACGTATAGGTCTGGATTAGGTCTGGATTAGGTCTGGGTTAGGTCTGGGTTAGGTGTTAATTTTGGCCAAAAATGACCGCGTATCCGAATCGCCGTGAATCGCGATCGAATTTACGGTAGAACGAACGTTATTAGTCGGCAGTCAGTCAATTTTATTAGGTACATTAGCCGCACGATGACTGGCTGGATACGCCGAAACGAAAGTTCCGCTCTGTGATCCGATTGGCGCGGACAGAGAAGATTCGCGCGCGTACAAGTTCAATGGACATTACGGCGATTACGACACGCGGAATTTCGCTATCGCGCGCGTGTACGGCGGAACGTTCCCTCGATTAGCCGACTGTCCAGCGAAACTAATTACCGAAATATCGGGTGTGCAGCCTGGCGACTCCGCCAGTATCGCGTACGTCAACGTTAATACGTAACAATGGCTGGATTACGGCGGCTGGAATTTGCCCGAGAGACGATTACGCGTCAAAGCGCGTTATATCGCGCCGAGAGTTTCGCGAAAAGCGTGAAAACGGGAGAAACGTTTGGCCGCGGTTAGATAAGGACCCATTGTCGCGGATGTACAACTTCAACCCTCGACCTTTCGCCGCCTCGCGGTACCAACGCCTATTTCGCGCTCAGTTTTTCATTATTTCAACCAACTTCTTGACGTTAAGTACCCCCCGTTGTGTTTTGTTTCCCTAAAACCCTTGGCAAAGAAATTTATTTACTCCACCATTGCGAATAAACACGTAATCAAAATTCATTTCCAACCAAACTCGTATTTAAGAAAGCTTCAATTTTGTTAGCTCATTTTTTTAGAATTCGACCAAGAACGTTTGGGAAAAAATAAAAGATCGTTCTTCGGCGTAAACGATCAAGAAAACAGTCATGAACGAGAATCGCGAAGCAACTGGCACGGACCAATCGCCAGCTGGCCAGTTGCCTAAAAAGATCAAGTCGTAATCGCGTTGATGGGAGCGGTAAGTATTCAATGAGCGGCGGTCTCGAAATTTTTTGGAACCCGCCGGCCAAACAGAAAAAGAAGATTTCCGCTTCCAAGATTTATAGATCGAGGATATATCTTCGTCGATTCTCGACCGCGGACAAGTTGAAACGATGGAAGAAAGGCGCCCCCTGTCTGTTGTTAAACACCGATGATCGATGTATTAATAGAAAGAGGTGTTCGAGTTATCCACATTTGTCTACATTAAAAATTCCCTTTCGCGCCCCTCTTGGTCCGTTAGGGCAACTCCCCTACGGGCTTCGACCCCTCACTTTGTAAAACACTGATGCGAAGGTTGGACGTGCACTGCGAGGAACTATTATGTCCCTGAATCATGTTCACGATGCGAGAGAAATTTGTCTTTCGGCTCGTAATATGCTTTTTCACGGTGGTAACGACGGTCATTAGTTGACGCAATAAAAACCCTCGACCGATAACAAAACAACTTTCTTCGAACGTTTTTATCGTAGCATCTTAAGTAATTGTTTGCAGGCAGTTAGTTAGTTAGTTTGTCAGTTAGTTAGTTACATTGCAGTTAGTTGGCTAGTTTGTTAGTTACATAGTTATTTAGTTGGTTAGTTTGCAGTTAGTTAGTTTCTTTACAGTTAGTCAGATAGTTTGTCAGTTAGTTAGTTAGTTTGCAGTTAGTTACTTAGTTTGTCAATTAGTTAGTTAGTTTGCATTTAATTAGTTAGTTTGTCAGTTAGTTAGTTAGTTACTATGCTAGATAGTTAGTTAGCTAGTTAGTTAGCTAGTTAGTTAGCTTTTTCACGGTGGTAACGATGGTCATTAGTTGACGCAACAAAAACCCTCGACCGATAACAAAACAACTTTCTTCGAACGTTTTTATCGTAGTATCTTAAGTAATTGTTTGTTCCACCATTTCGGTTGGGTGGTAGAGAACCTCGATTTATTAACGGAAACTAGCGCCAAATGGCAATCCTATAAATACAATACAAAACTGAAACGACTAATGTTAACGATCCTACGAGAAATAGACTCATGCAAAAAAGTTTGAAACTTATTAAAAGACATTAAAGTATACCAATTGCTCTAAATACGATCAGTTCCACTAGGTAACCCAATTGTGGTCACTAATAACCAACAAGGTGCATGTGACCTAAAACGCTCTAAAAAAAAAAAAAAAAAAAGTAGGCGTTATTGTACCTGTGGATAAAAGAACTCACCCGATAGATTCAGGGATATCCAGAATCTAGATATATGTTTAAAACAATCGACAGCGTCCTAACAACAGCTACAGCGAGGTGTGATTACCAATAAATGTTTGTCATTATACGAATGTCACATTTTTATTAATAGAATTAATGAAACAGAAGCTTCGCAGAGGGCTGTCTCAACCCCCAAAATATAATAATTCGTATCTTACTTTAAGTATTTCTTATATTTTTGCATATTAAATGCATTCTGTAGTTTTTTGAGGATCAAAATTTCCCATAAATGCATAAACATCCGCAGTCCAGTCATAAGAGTAAATAGTACCCAGGTATCGAAGGGAAATTCTTTCGCGATGCCCGAATAATTTGCCACCCGCCGACGAACGGAAAGAACCGATTGTGAACGAGTTCACGGTCGACGGCGCATCAATTTTTAATCCCGTACGAATTCGACGATAGTTGCCCGGTTCCTCGTCGAAAAGAAGCAAACACGCGTGGAACCGAAGGTAAACGAAAGAGCACTTTGCTCGATCGGTTGTTTGTACGGCGAGCAATTACGAAATTGCCAGTGGCTCGGACCGGTTTTTTTCTCTCTCCTAGACACGATCCCCGAAAGAGGGGGTACGAGATCGTACGAGGGTGGGAGGGGGTTCAGGGATCGCAGAGAACCGAGCAGGTGTTGATCTTTTGGGGTAAAATCGAGGGGTCCCGTGGGGCACACCCACGTAGCCGGACACGCGATATCGAAACCAGCTGTCGATCCGAAGCGACTCCTCTCTCCCATCCATTGCCGAATCGGGTCGTTGGCTTCGATAGGCTGACGCGCGCGGAAATAGAAACGTCGATCGAGTTCCGTGAATGGATCCGACTCTGGAACCAGTTTCGTCAAGGTCGCGAATGAATTTCTTGTTCGGCGGGTACGGTCGTGCGTTACGTCGACGCTCGACGAATAAATAATCGAGAACGAGTTTGCGCCACGACGATCCGGGAAACGCGAGAACCGCGAGGGAACCGCGAGGGAACCACCGAGATCGTCCAATACCGGCGACTTTTCGTCGCGCGACAGTTGCACTAAACCGAAACTGAAATAGAAAATTTTATAACGTTCACATGGTAATATTAGAAATAATTCTTAGGGGAAAGCGTAAAAGTTTAAAAGCGCAATATTAATAGATCGAGTGCGTGAGAAACATGGCAAAAATCACTATACATGTGGCGAGGTGAGATAAACGTTATGATAAAAATAATGTCACCGTGTGGGGCAAAGTGAATGCGAGAACGAGGATGTTTTATCAATAGAGTTTCGTAGACGTTCCGGTGCTTGGTTAATACCGGGAGCCACTGGATAAAATGGAGGGTCCCGAACGAACCGATTTACGGGCCACATAATACCGTAGGCCACTGGGAAAGGTAAGTTTTCGAGGACGAACCGGTATATGGCTAACACCGGAAGCTACCAGGATGGTTGTCGTGGACAAACAGATGTATGGCTACCACTGGGAGCCACTAAAATCGAACAGGTAATCCCCGTAACTCTGTAACGCGACACAATTTCGGTAACGAAGGTATATAAATGCACAATGAACGAATAATAATTAAACGATTCGAAAACGATTGGTTCGCGTTGGTTACTTATTACTCGAACAAAATTGCTCCACGTACGATCATAAAAAAGCTCGACCGAAACCCGGAAATCCGATATTACGGCGTTTCGGTTTTTCGAAATTAATCTGAGAACGAAACCCGCCGCTGTGAATCGCTGCTGTTGCTTTTATACCCGAAAAATCCATACGAGAAACGGCGGGGAGCACGTTTACCGTGTCGGAGGTTTTGCTAGAAAATTCTGACGATGTCACGCCATGTGTGTTCCCCCGCTGCGCCCCCGGGGATAACAGCTTAAACTAAACATCAGCGTTAAAAATCCAAGGGAGAAGCCTACGGAGTAACGATAGAAAATACACTTTCCTTTTTTAAGTTTCTCAAGTGCATTAACCCCTTGCCTTACGATTTAATTTCCAAACTAGTAGACTTATCGCGTCTCTGAGACGTCGTTGCAAGCCAAGGGGTTAACCGGCGATCGAATTTCGCCTGGTTGCCTCTCGAGTTGTCGGAAGGGAATTAAAAAACGCTTACCTTTTGCGCTTTGCAGGCGGCGGCCAAGGGCAGAACGTCGTGGGGATGAGCCGCGTGTCGATCGCGAAGACAAACCGCGCATATCGCGATTTTACAGAGGGCACAGTAGAGGGTCAACGGCTCGCCGTTGTGATCGTTGCAAACCGGTGTAGGTTCCGCGGCTGCACCGCGAGAACCTTTGCCTCCGTTCGACTGCCAGCTGCCTCGAGGTGGGCCCAGATTGTGAGCCGCCAAAGGTCCCCTCTTCGGATGACAGGATTCCCTGCAGCCGTCGCAATACAACACCTGAAACGACCCCACGTACCACCTTTAAAAATCGTACTCTTCGTCCCATTCAACGGGAAGAAACCGCCTGGCGGGGCCCGATATTTGGAAAAAGCTAAGAAACTGTACTAGAAAACTTTCGGTGAGATTCGTACTACGGTCATTGGACGGTGATAAATTTCGATAGCAATATTTCCCTTCTACGTTGCGTTTGATGAGAAAGGGGGAGAAGTAAGAATTGGAAGAATAAGAAGGGAACACAGTTACAAAGCGAATAAACGCCAGCGACGACCATGACAACGGGAATATTAACCGCGTCAGCTTGGACTCGGCACTCGTTATTCACGCACGAGCAACGCCTCCTTGCCCTCTTTACGTTGCGACTCGAGAAAGTCGATTTCCACGAAGCTCGTTCAGCTCCTGCTTACAGAACGTTGCAACTATGAGAGTAAACAAAAGAAGCGAACACGTCGAAAGCGCCGAGGGTAACGCTTACGAATGAAAAACAACCAAAGGAGCGACCGCGGACGGTAAATCTCCACGATCTACGACTACGTACAGAGTGTTTCGACGTACCCGTATTTTTCACGCGAAAACAATCGAATATATTCACCTTACAAGTTACCCAGTTTTAATGCTTAAAGTTCCATACCAGAAAATTTGTCGGCGAAATTAAAAAATTTCAAATCGTCTAGAATAATTATTTTTAGTTGCAGGGGTCGATTACAATCATTTTTGGTCGATAGACGTACACCCGAAATCCTACGCACTTTCGAGAAAAAAAATTCAATAGATGCCTACATTTTTCTGTGAAATTAAAAAATTTCGAATCGTTCTAAAAAAATTACGTTTAATTGCAAGAGTTAATTACAATCATTTTTGGTGATTAGACATACCTCCAAAATCCTACCCACTTTCCAGAAAAAAAAATTGGAAGTGTTAAATTTTTCGACGGAAAAAAAAAATTTCAATTCATCTAGAAAAATTATTTTTAGTTGCAGGGGTCGATTACAATCATTTTTGGTCGATAGACGTACACCCGAAATCCTACGCACTTTCGAGAAAAAAAATTCAATAGATGCCTACATTTTTCCGTGTAATTAAAAAATTTCGAATCGTTCTAAAAAAATTACGTTTAGTTGCACGAGTCAATTCCAATCATTTTTGGTGATTAGACATACCCCCGAAATCCTACCCACTTTCTAGAAAAAAAATTGGAAGTGTGAAATTTTTCGACGGAAAAAAAAAATTTCTAATCCTTTTGGAAAAATTATTTTCTGTTGCGGGGGTCAATTACAATCATTTTTGGTCGATAGACGTACACCCGAAATCCTACGTACTTTCGAGAAAAAAAATTCAATAGATGCCTACATTTTTCCGTGTAATTAAAAAATTTCGAATCGTTCTAAAAAAATTACGTTTAGTTGCAAGAGTCAATTCCAATCATTTTTGGTGATTAGACATACCCCCGAAATCCTACCCACTTTCTAGAAAAAAAATTAGAAGTGTGAAATTTTTCGACGGAAAAAAAAAATTTCTAATCCTTTTGGAAAAATTATTTTCTGTTGCGGGGGTCAATTACAATCATTTTTGGCGAATAGACATACCCACGAAATCCTACCCACTTTCGAGAAAAAAAAATTGGAAGTGTGAAATTTTTCGACGGAAAAAAAAAATTTCAAATCCTTTTGGAAAAATTATTTTCTGTTGCGGGGGTCAATTACAATCATTTTTGGCGAATAGACATACCCCCGAAATCTTGCGCATTTTCGAGAAAAAAATTCAGTACGGGCGGAACTTTAAACATTAATAACTTTTTAACGCAGCCTCAGTCAAGAAATTGGTATTCTTGATTTTCGACTTATTTTGGTCTCTAGAATCTCTCATTGAAATTTTTTTCACGGGTGGTGGTCGAGCACCTTGTATGCGAGGCATAGAAGAGTACGATGCTTGCAAGTCTGCTTTTTATCGTATTGAAACCAGGATTGCCTTTTGAGATGCGGTCTATATCGAACGAAAATGAAAATAACTAATAACTGCAAGAGACGGTATCTTCTATTTGCCTTGGCAGATCGACAGGCAGATTACTTGTGTATGGCGCCTCAAGGAAAATAGCCCAGACACGAAAACGCTGATACAGCTCAAGGATAATGAAACGACGAGTACGAAGGACACTGCCATATAAGTTTCTCCGGCGTACACCGTGATATTCTATTGTACCTACTTGCATGGTACGAGGATCGAGCTTGGACGTTATTGAAATAAAGTGTTTGATAAATAAGCATGTAATAAATAAAATAACAGGTAACTTGAAATTTTCAACCTATAATTATTTGTTATTTCATTCGTGCGAAATAACTCGAACAGAAGAGCTACTTGAAAATAATTCATTTGTATCCTATCCTCGTGAAGTAAAAAGTAATTAAGTGTTCGAAAATAATTGTTTGGCATAGTCGTTTGTTACGTTATCTAAAATAAATTGTGCGCGAGCCTGAGTTCGACCAATATCCCGTTGCACACGAAACGTATGTAACGATAAAAACGAATCATTTGTCAAGTCCCTGAACGAACAGATGGCCTAACGTTCCACGGTCACGTGATCTCATCGATTGCGGATCACTTTAATGGCGCAAGAGAGCGACATACAACGACGCCTGTGTACCGAACTACGGCGTACAAAACATGCCACGACGCTAACGAAAAAACAGAAAATCCACGGGAAACGTTCGAGCGTAGGCTACACGGGTACAACCTCGTGTACGTTCGTCGAAATATGTAAACACGTTGCTTCTCTTGAGATTCTCGAGGTTACGTGTTTGTGATACACTTGACGCGATCCGTAAACAATGCTAACGCTTATAACGCTAGACAGTTGGAACAGGTTCCTGAATTTTCAGTCTCGAAACGTGTCTTTTCGTAAATTTCTTCTCTTACGATCCTCTCTTGTGGGACGGAAATTAAAAATGTCTAGTGGAATGAAATATTCTACGGAATGTCATTATTAGACCTGAATTCGCCCCTCTAAATATCAAAATCTCCGGCGAGACAGCTGTAGAGGGGTTCCCTCGTAAGAACTCGTGGACCCCAAAAGCAGGGGGTCTGGAAATCACAGCTTGAGAAAAACAAAGTTTAATAACGTTAGAGAAGAAATATTTACAAACCTTTCCACTCGATAATTACTTTAATATTTCGTTTCGTACCCTTGACGATTAAAAATAAAATTTTTTAAGGAACACGTACGATTACTTGTTTGGTGCGAAGAGAGAATGTATTATAAAGAAAACGTTAGTTTAATAACAAAAACAAAGTTAGTTTGATAACGTTAGAGAAGAAATATTTACAAACCTTTCCACTCGATAATTACTTTAATATTTCGTTTCGTACCCTTGACGATCAAAAATAAAATTTTTCAAGAAACACGTACGATTACTTGTTTGGTGCGAAGAGAGAATGTATTATAAAGAAAACGTTAGTTTAATAACAAAAACAAAGTCAGTTTAATAACGTTAGAGAAGAAATATTTACAAACCTTTCCACTCGATAATTACTTTAATATTTCGTTTCGTACCCTTGACGATTAAAAATAAAATTTTTCAAGGAACACGTACGATTACTTGTTTGGTGTGAAGAGAGAATGTTTGTTTAAAATAAATCGTGAGCAAAAGCATCGAAGCCAGTTCGATAAAATACCGAAATATTGAAAGTTTGTTAAAGAGATATGGTAATTCCTCTCTTGAATATAGAATTTTAGCACGAGATTAAAGAAAATTAATCATCCCCACTACTGTTTACATTTCTTTAGCGCCGAGCGATCCGTCGCTTCGACTCGAGCGACCGGCAGCCGTGGAATTAAAAACTCGTTGGCCGAGCTTCAAAGCGATACTTTTATATTTTTAATTATGAAACTTTTATATTTTTAATTATAGGCCCGTTTAATCATTTCTGAAAAACTTTCAATCGCGTGTAATTAAAAGTAGTCCGATTACCGTCGTATTTGGACACATTTCCATAGGGAAAATCTCATCAAACCGACCGATAGTACTTTCACGAAGACACATTGGGAAAATATAAAAGTTTTCCATCTGCGTCGCTTCAAAGTTTGATAAAGCTCGAAAAATGCATTAAGCAATACACGAAAACTGTTTTAATACGATTCGGGAAGTATTCAGAAACGGTACAGAGATTCTTCGCTTAAAGAGAGAATTTTTGCACGAAATTAATGAAACCGAATCATCCCCGCCACTGTTTATGTTTCTTCTTTTTTTTCAGCTGAAGAGACTCGTCGACCCAAGCAACCGACAGCAATTAAATTAAAAACCCTCTTGCTAAGCTTCGAAGCGATACCTTCACGTTTTTAATTATAAAATTTTTATGGTTTTAATTACAACCAGTTGTGATTTTAATTCAAAGTAGTTCGAATAAAGTAATCTTAATAAGCAATCCTTTTTTTTTTTATACCGCGGTACGGTAGAACCGCGATCATTGCAGAAAAACCGAGGCTCTTAAATTATCCCTACGCAGCTTATCTTCTCTGTTACATCCAGCCTTACTTGTTGCTTAACGACTATCTTCTCCTGGTAGTCCCGATATTCGATCTTACTTAGAGCTACGATGTAAACAAACGAGGAAAATGCATTTAAAGTTGATCCAAGAACGGAAATGCAAGACCGTTCCTATTCTTGGCAATTTGACAATAAAGGTTCGCGAAGAATCACGAGGAAATTATTTCGTTGTACGTGCGGGAAAAATCTATTTTAGTATGCGACTAATAACAACATATTCGAAGATGTAAATATTAGGGTAAAAATAATATAAATGCGTGATATTTCTAACGTACTGTCTGAAGCCGGGCAGTTATTAGTTGGCTCGTTACGGCGAATGTAACAAATTCCAGTAATTGAAAGATAAGGGAGAAGGAATGAATTAAAGGTAAATGAACTGACCTCGCATTGCTCGCAGGCGACGGTCGCGTCCCGGGGCTCGCCCTCGCACATCTGACATTGCATTCTCGTGTTCCTCGATTCTTGAAACTTCTCGACGATATGCTGCATCGCCCTGTATTTGGGCAAATTGTGGGCGCCTCCTTCATCGAAATAAACGGTCTTCTGACAGACGGGGCAGGAAAGGCACAAGGTGCCGCCCGACGGCGGAAAGCCACCGTTTCCGGGCGTGCCGACGTAACTTCCCGGTCGCGAGCTGGTCGACGTGCTGCTGCATACCACCCCGGAATCAGTCTCCGATAGAATCGAGAGTTTGTCGGCTTCCTGATCGGATCCCGGTGCATTCGAGGAATCGGTGGTCGACTCCGGTGGCGAGTCGGGCGGCGCTTGAAGATTCACCGCGCACGACAGACAAAGAGCGTGCCAGCAGGGCAACAGCACCGGCTCCACGAACAGCTCCTTGCAACAAGGGCATCGCAGTTCGTCCTCCATCCTCGGTTTCGTCGAGTCCTCCGCCGCGTTAACCACGGACCACGACTCGCGTCACGATCGAGAAACACCGCGCGCGCACTTCGCGCCTCGTTTAACCTCAACGAGAAATCCGTCGGCTGGCAGGGATCCTGTTTCTTCGATTCGATGCCCGACCGACCGATCGATCTCCTTCGCTTGCCGCGTTAAGCTTCACCACCGCTGCGAATTCTTTCCTGCGGCTTGCCTTTCATCACACGCCGACATCAATGTCCCTGCACACAGGATCGTCCAGTGTCCACCGAGGATATGAACGAAAGACCGACGCGCGTCGATCTTATCGGCTGTTTGTTCGGAATCGCGTCTTCTCGATTCGTTCGTCACGATGTTTCGCGATACATCTTCGGAATCGTATCGGTCGATACACACGTCGCGATCGTTTACTTATTCGCACGATTATCCCTCTCACCTGTAGATCGCACGCACATCGCACACGGAATACGCGCAAGAATCGAGTTTACATTTTTTACCGATCGCGTTTCGATGGGACGCACTGACGCGACGATTCGCGCGTACACTGTCCTTTTTGCGAATTTTTCCCGTGGTATGGTTGATGCGTTGCGAAGACCGTGAGTCGTTGACGCGTCGATGCACGGAACGTCGATCTCTATGGATACACGGCCGCCTCTCGTCTCGTTTCGATTTTCTGGATACCGGCACGAGAGTCCGAGAAAACGACACACGCTGCGAGACGTCACCGGGTTGACTGACATCGCCGCCGAAGGACCTCTGCGCACCATGGTCGCGCATCATGGCTCAGGGACGACCTTTCCGCCTACCGACCCCCACTACGATTAAACACCATTTTTTCCACAATGTTTGATACTGACGTTCTACAGCACGGGACAAAATTATAGCCCATCTAACGTTTTTGTTTAGAATTAAATACACAGTGGCTAGCAAAAATATTCGATCGCTCAGATTTTTGATTTTTAACAGATGGAACATTTATGTTAAACCGAAGTATTTAGAAGAATATCACGTCTACGTTACTGCTCGAGGTCGTCCAGTATTCTTTCTTTTTCATCATTTATAGGATCTTTTAATAAATTTCACACTAGTTTTCGACTTCTGTTTATTAGTTCTGCGATTTTCTGTATAGAATGTAATAATAGAATTCTTTATATATTTTTACGTATACAGAATTTACCAGATTTGAGTGCAAAACTTTTATAGATTCTATGGGTGCAGACAAGAAAAAAATGTTACATAAACATGGGCTGTTTAACGCTTTATTAGAAAGTTATAAACAAGATTGAAAATTCAATTAATCGGTATACAAAGTTTATAACTTTTTAATTAAGCGTTAAACAACCCATGTTTACCAACAAAATTTTACACCTTAAATCTGAGACACCCTGTATGTATATCTAAAAACAAACAACAATGTTGGTTGGGCTACCATTTTCTCCAGCACTGCACACAGAGTATATTTTGTTCCCGAATAACAAAAAGAAATTTCAATTTCATTTGTGAACGGTTTTAAAAAAATCCATCAACGAAGGCCAATTTACGGATAAAATCTAAAATTTGTATTTGTTATTCGGAAATAAAATTTACCCGATTCTGGTTCTCTGTGATCTATTGTTTGAATAAAATTTTGTTCGTGTTTGCTGTCTATCTATTCCACACGCACATATCTCGTCATCGTGGCCTTTCTCTTTTGTAGGTTATTACTGAAATGAGTAGAGGTTCGTCGAAGGTTTACGAAATATTAAAAGAACTAAACAACCAAACTGTATTTCATTCGAACGCGTGTACGTCATGAAGTTACCTATTTCTTGCTCATAGAACAGTCCGCAAACACTTCATTAGCGAAGCTGTATTTCGCTTAAATCATAACGAATTTGCTCAAAGGTTCGCTGATTAACACCATAGATACTCGACAACCGCGTAATCGTATTGCGATCAAATATGGAGAACTTGTATCTGGTATTGGAATCATTTGGCTCGTAAACACAGCCAACTAGAATATTCCTATTTCATAATCCCCTGTATCTAGAAACGTCGAATTATATGATAACCTACAATTACGACTCTACATGATTTTTGCATTAACATCTTTAAAAGAAACGGGAATCGTTACGTTAAAGCAAACACCCTGTATAAGGTCGTTGTTACAGTCCTGGCTATCGGTTCCCTTTCTCTCTCACCTTCTTTTTAACCCTATTGCCATCTATACCTCTCTCCTACTCTTCTCCTGCCTAGGAAAAGACACAAGACCGTAAAATAGGAACGAAAAGAAAAAGATACGCGTTACGAAATAAGAGAAGATGCCAACTACTAGAGAGAGGAATGAAAAAAGCAATGGTGGAAGCAAGCATATACCGAGTGTAGAAACTAGTCTCTACGTCGATTCCCGTACATTTTTAGATGATCAAAATTCTTATCCCCGCGATAATGAATTTTCTTATTTATTTATTATTTATAATAGTTGATAGAGAGGGAGAATCTAATTTAGAAGACTATCTATCGAAACCTAATTAACTTTGAAAATGTGCGACACTTTCACCAGATTTTACATAGAGTAATTACATGCAAGAATCGTGGACAAACATAATTTACATCTGCTTGCGCGTCGAATTTCCATTTGCAACTTTCATTATCCTTAATTGCTACTCTTGGGAGCTCGATATGAAGAATCCGGTTCATAAATATCAGCTCAGACGACTTATTATTATTCGGTAGAAGACTTAATTAACGTCTAAGAAGATAGAAGAACAGTTACGAAACTGTTGTCCTCGATAGTTATGCATTATATCGATAGTATGCATGCCCACGAACTTGACATGGTATTGCAAGCTCACAGGTTATGTTATAAATTCATCTTTCGTGATACAGATAATGATATCAATATCACACGTGTAAAGAAATATCTATGTATGAAAGCCTTACACATATTTATATACAGAAAAAATTACTACAAACATTAAACAATAAGTTTACATACCTAAATTTATGCCTAGTATTTTTTCTAGCTTCTGACTCTAAAGCAGCGTGGCCAGATTTGGCATAATTGAGTGCATCGACGGCGATACTAGTAACGACGAATTTCCTTAGCGTTTAACGGAGTGGCGACACTACTTATTTTTATGGGGTTCTTGTCACTTCACGTAATTAAGGAACAACTTTCCGATTAGTTTTGAAATTTCTCCATATTCTACACCAAAATACGCGTTGCTTGTCTTTTGAAACATTAAAATCCTTCAATCCGATCAGAAGTTATGATATTTTAAACATACGCATGATCTTTCAGGGAAACATTTCTAACCTCACATTATGTCTTTGGTAAAGAATTTTTTTCTCGAAAATGCGTAGGATTTCGGGGGTGTGTCTATTGACCAAAAATGATTGTAATGGGCCCCCGCAACCGAAAATATTTTTTCCAGCAAGATTTGAAATATTTTAATTTTCGCCGAAAAATTCGTCTACCTACTAGAATTTTTTTCTCAAAAGTACGTAAGATTTCGAGGGTATGTCTATTGACCAAAAATGATTGTAATGGACCCCCGCAACCGAAAATAATTTTTCCAGCAAGATTTGAAATATTTTAATTTTCGCCGAAAAATTCGTCTACCTACTAGAATTTTTTTCTCAAAAGTACGTAAGATTTCGAGGGTATGTCTATTGACCAAAAATGATTATAATGGACCCCCGCAACCGAAAATAATTTTTCCAGCAAGATTTGAAATATTTCAATTTTCGCCGAAAAATTCGTCTACCTACTAGAATTTTTTTCTCGAAAGTACGTAAGATTTCGGGGGTGTGTCTATTGACCAAAAATGATTGTAATGGACCCCCGCAACCGAAAATAATTTTTCCAGCAAGATTTGAAATATTTCAATTTTCGCCGAAAAATTCGTCTACCTACTAGAATTTTTTTCTCGAAAGTACGTAAGATTTCGGGGGTGTGTCTATTGACCAAAAATGATTGTAATGGACCCCCGCAACCGAAAATAATTTTTCCAGCAAGATTTGAAATATTTCAATTTTCGCCGAAAAATTCGTCTACCTATTAGAATTTTTTTCTCGAGAGTGAAACAACGACCGTGAGATGCACATGAGGAAATAATGCTCAATCGTAGGAATAATAAAAATGCCTTGGCAGTCGAGATTCGAAATTGTATGCCATTGGCGCGAGAACGGATTTCAGGTGTTCAAGGTCAAAAAGAAAAGGCTCGCACTCGCCTTCTTTCTCGATTTCCCGAAGTTGCGCAAGTACCGAGCTCACGTAACATGGCTCTTACGGTAGATCATGTCTCTTTCAGACGCTAAGAAAGTTCGTCGTTACTAGTGTCACCGTCGATGCACTCAATTATGCCAAATCTGGCCACACTGCTCTGAAGCATTCCAAACTCTCAAGGAACGGTTTAGATGGCATGAAACACGAAAGAAATGCACCTTCCAAGGAGTTACTAATGCTAAAATTCACATCATTTGCATCGTGTTTGATAAGATCCAGTATCGAAATAAATCAATTTTAGTACAGAAAACGCTGTTGTTCTATTACCTGAAAATTCTATTGTTGGAACATATATGTATCTCTAATAGTTCTAATAATCGAGGTTCTAATTCGAAAGAGCCCTAACCCTAAATCACACGCGAAAGTAAGCACTTTTAATTCATTTCCGTTGATAAAAGTGTATATCTTCTTTATTGATCCGTGTTCTAATCTGTGTGTATACGCAACGCGTGCCTAGACCAACATTATCGTCGAATGCAATATCTAAAGCAAACATAGAGGCGCCACATGCTGGACAAGACGTTTTTATCGGGCGGTCTCGTACACTCGGTGGAAACTTTACATCCGTTCAGTAAGAAACGAAATGCCTATGTGGGCAAAATGTTGTGCAAATCATGTGCAATGACACTTCTTGAATGAAATTAAAGGTAAGAATAGCGTCATATTTCATCATTTATTCAATACTCCCATATTTATCGATCAACACACGTGTCTTTTATCGTTAAATAATTACCGCAGTTTCCATTGTACCATTAATTAAAATTCGTTGCGTTACATAACACGATCACACTACTATAAACGTGCCATTGAAATAATTCTTGCATGGAAATACTACGAACCCGGCACGTAACCGATATCTTCAGAAATGGTAGTCTTTCAGATTCATTCAATCCCAAACTTGAACATTATAATTGCATGTACGTAAATCGAAACTAATTGGAATGCAGAAATTGCACGGATTAAAATGTAAACGAATCATTGATAACCACATGTAATTTTTTATAAATAATTTCCGTAAAAACAAAGAATAATGCGTCGATAAGCAGAACACATCCAACGATCGAATTAACGTGATGTTAGTTATTGCTATCATCGTACAGTCTCGCTTATCAACGTGAAGCGAAGATAAAATAAATATGCCAAAATTTGTCGCAAACGGGCGTCCGTCTTTTTTAGAAATTCGTCAGCGCCAAATTTAATGTGCCGAAAATATGAAACCAACCATGGCTGCATCCTTGACAAAAAGGATCATACTTCGACAACTCTCCCATACACATCGTTATTATGGATCTGCTTCTAGGTTAGACGATTTATCGACCACGAAACTTTTGACGTTCCGCAAGAAACGTACAAGTTATGAAATACGCTAACGTGTTCCTCGCGGTGGTTAAAATCGTATGCGACAAATTTTCAGCGTTGACCCGTGCGGTACGTTCGACCTGATCATCGTTGGTGGTGGCATCGTTGGGTGCGCTACTGCTCGTGAGATGATGATCAGACATCCTAATCTAAAGATGGCGATCGTCGAGAAAGAAAACGCTCTGGCGAAACATCAATCGTCGCATAACAGCGGCGTCGTGCACGCTGGCATTTACTATGTTCCTGGCAGTATGAAAGTAAAAATATAAAAAAACACACACCAAAAAAAAAAAAAAAATAATTAGATATCGAATCAAATAATAGAACAACGTTTCGTTAAGAGATTCTTGATCCGGCAAGAAATGATTACAGGCAAAACTGTGCGTGGAAGGTTTAAAACTATCGTACGAATATTTCTGCAAAAACGACATACCTCACAAGAAGGTTGGGAAACTTATAGTCGCACAGAATGTACAACAAGCTAAAAGAATAGACGACCTGTTCGACCGGGGAACGAAGAACAACGTACCGGATCTTGTGGTGGTCGAGAAAGATTGTATATCGAAATACGAGCCTAAATGTCAAGTACTAAAAATCAACGTTCTCTCCGCTTAAAAATCGGATCTTTCTCGAACGAAATAAAACATGTGTATATTGTACAGGGGGAGAAGGCATTATGGTCACCGTGGACGGGTATAGTTGATTGGGCTGTAGTTACCAAACACTTCGCTGAAGATTTTCGAAACATGGGCGGTCAAATATTCTTAAATTACGAGGTAACCGGATTCACGGAAATGGGAGAATCGAAAGGGCAGAACGAGTTGGTTCCCATTTCGGTGCAATCGAAAAGTAAAGTGCGTTTTCTTTTTCTCTATGTCGTTTTGCAATGCACATTTTGCTGTTACATCGTCGTGTAACTTCTTTATCATCTTGTATTGTAGTGTTTAGCAACAAAATACGTTCTGACGTGTGCTGGTTTACACTCGGACCGATTGGCGGTTATGACCGGATGCGATCTAAGTCCACGAATAGTTCCGTTTCGCGGCGAGTATCTGTTACTGAGCGAAAAGAAAAAACATTTATGCACGACGAACATATACCCTGTCCCGGATCCCAGATTTCCATTTTTAGGTGTTCATTTTACGCCCAGAGTAAACGGTGACATATGGCTTGGCCCTAACGCTGTCTTAGCATTCGCTAGAGAAGGTTATCGGTAAATCACCAAAACCTATGTATACACGTAACATTTAAACGTGTTATAATCGATGACCACGCATTTTCAGATGGTTCGATATAAACATTAGAGACTGTATAGAAATGGCGAAATTCCCTGGATTGTATAAACTTTGCTTCCGATATTTTATACCGGGATGCAAAGAAATGATCAAGTCGATCTTCTACCCACTCGCTGTAAGGGACTTGCAAAAATTTATTCCCGAAGTATCCTACAAAGACGTGAAAAGGTAAGTACGAAAATACATTTGCAATTTCTTGCCACAATTCGATATTTTATTCTTCCTTTGTCTATTGTTAATAATTATGCAGAGGGCCAGCTGGTGTTCGAGCACAGGCACTGGATAATAATGGAAAATTAGTCGACGATTTTATCTTTGATTCGGGAAAAGGTAGTATCGGTAGCAGAGTGATGCACTGTCGTAACGCACCTTCCCCGGCTGCCACTAGCAGTATGGCAATTGCCAAGTTCATTGCTGACAAATTGGAAAATGATTTCAAATTTTAATAAGCAGAAAATTAAACTGGAAATGTAATAATCGGTCTGGCAATTAGAAAATTATCGTCTGGTAGGTATCTACAATGAAAACTGAAAAATTGTGGATCCGAATGGATTTAAAATAAAAATATCTGTGCTATTCGATGGCAAACGTTTGCTGCACCATGCATTGAAACGAACATACTTTTTACTGTTTTATACTAAATTTTCTACTTACAAGAAATACTTGTTTGAAAATAATATTGTAGCTTCGTATCTTGACATTGATGCAATGGTTGGTTAATTTATTATTTTCAAATAATATCAGTTTAATATATATATATATAAGTAATGTATTTATGTACACGCATTTACATCCAACTCAATCATAAATGTTTAAAAAATATTTCGATCAATTTATAATCGAATTAAACTGATTTGAACTTTCCATCATGACTTTCCATCATTGATAAAAGCAGTCTTCCGCATTTATAATTGTGTTGTAAAAAATTATATATAGATCGTTTCTAATGGCTTGCATTCTGTACTTTTGTATAGAGAAATAAAATAAAAAAAAATTTCAAGCATATAACCGACGTTTAAAAATAAACACAAGAGACTAGTATATAAACATTCTTCAATAATACATAACTGTAATAACATGCGTATAGAGTTGTTTCATATTATTCTAAACCCAGTTCCCGATATCATAAGATGAGAATTTGCGAAATCCCAAGCCGCCGTAGAGTGAAATCCCATATTTGAAAGAACAACTCCATACTCACTTAATGCAAACAGAGAGTAGACTGCAACGAAATAATCAATTTTTCAATTTGTTTCTTCTCAGTCTCCCTTGAAAATATCCAACTCACCTAGAGGTTCGCAATACTTGTTATGCCTGTAGAAAAAATAACATGCAAACAGTATAGACAACACGTTTAACATCAGTGATCTCCGTTTCCATTTCATGGAAACATTTTCTGACGACTCCCTTGTACTGTTACGGCAATTTCTCATAATAAAATATGCTACAAGCATATGAATAAAAGACATTATCAGAAACATTATAAAAGACAATTTGTGGAAGGCTGTAAGAGAAATATATGTTAGCTTTTATTCCCAGTGTTTCTACAAATCTATATATTTACCATAATTTTCGTCCGACGTCCAAAAGCTTAATGTAACAAGAGATACGTTCTCGACAGCGTAAGTAATTACCGCAATATTACATATAGTTTGTGCCCATTTATAGATATGTTCTTTGTAATAACGGTAATACATTATTAATACTAATATTCTTATCAATGCTTGTAAAGCGATCGCAATTTTCCATATGTCTCTCTGCGGTCTGTAATGTCCGATAGCTGCCGAGACAGATGGTAAAAAATTATATACCTAGTACAAAATTCTGATCTTTACATCGACCATTTGAGACATAATATCCAAAGGTGTTACTACATAGTAAGTAGGAAAGATATAGCCACCACAGGGCCTCGTTATACTGGAAAAGCAAATAGTATTTCTGAATAATTAACATACCTTGCAATGCGTGGAAGTAGAATGTTCAAAATTGTACACGATGGACCAAATAACACAGAAAGTAAATGCTAAGAATGGTAAAGAGACGGTGAACCATGCTAATTTAGAGAAGGGTAAAACAACCCGCGCTTTCGACATCTCGTCTTCCACTAACGGGATATACTCAGACCCTACTCTCGCCTTGCTCATCGTGTTATATTTTAAATTGCAATGTACGTCATAGGATGGGAGTTTGTTACTCCTAATTGGCTAAAGTATAAATCGTTTTATTAGCACGCACAACGAGTCTGTCGATTTTTTTCTAATTCTTTCACTTGTTGTTGTATGCCAAGAACCATACTGAGTAGAACAAACGTTCCCGAATTCAACGAAAAGGCAGATTAATGCGTCGAAACGATCGGAATCTTGTAATATTAACATTTTTCAAAGTATCAGGACACGAACGATATCATCTTAACGGAAGATCGATCGCACCGATCGCGCGTTTCTCGTTCTGTATACATGCATAGAATATTCCAACGCGGGCAACGACATCGCGTGGCTCGTGGCGTAAAAATGCGATAAACCAGTGGTTCTTAATTTCTGTGGTCCACGGGTCCCAAGGGGACACATTTTGGCGGGAAAATATTTATTTTTGTCAACCCCTTCAGTACTTTAAACATGACGATAGCTATTGGACTGGAATAAATCTACGTATCATTGTTCTCAAATCTCTATTACGCGTTATATCGAGAAATTACTGCAGAAACATCTGAAAATACTTAGGAACAATTCGGTCCTTTTCTGTCTGATGTAAACTCTTGTTTAGCGGAGCATTGGTTTCGAAATTGGTGTTGAGAATGGGGCCCGTGAATTTTATCCAAGTACCAAGAAGAGTTCACAGAAAAAAAAATTAAGAACCACTGTCATGAACGTGACAAAATCATCTGCTACAGATGTTGTTGTCCATGTTTCCGTTATTCGACACTAGATAGCGTGAGCTTACCGTTTACGTCGGTTTTGCTATCAGCTGTTCCTCTATTTTTTATGTGGTTCATAGTACTCAATCTCTTGTAATTCAAAAATTTAGTTCCACGCAGTGTTTGTATTAAAGGGCATCGGTTGTTTGCATTAAAACAGCGGCACAACGCGGGAAAGATATCAAACAAACGTATCAGCACGCAAATATTTTCAAGAAAAAAGCTTAATATTTTGAGGTTAGATTTTCTAGTGGTGAAACAGAAGATCGTGTACTTTGTGGCAATAAACTATCGTATACCATTGTCCGTGTTTGATAAGAAAACAACAAGAAACCTTCTACGAGTATTAAAACATGTGAGTACAATTTTTATCTTGTTCATTTTATCTCCTATGGTAAAGGGGAATGTTTTTAAACCTGTCTACCTAAAGTTCTGCGGACAACATTTATTTCGGCCTAAAACGTATTTGTTTCGCTGAACGAGTTAAACAAAGCTATGAATAGACGTTGGTTATATCGGCGAAGATTGAAAGCGACGAAGAGATTGCGTATCGTCGACTGTGAGAAATGTTTCTAAAACATCGAACACGTACGACCGTATCGATACTACTTTGCACTATTGTATTGTATCTATTCGTGTTCGTTGCACGATACAATAAGCGTCTTGATACATTTTCACCCTTGATTGTCGTCATATTCTCTACGTAGATAGGTGTGCTGCATAGAGAATAGCCCATAAGAATCGGCACTGAAACGCACCGTACCGTACCGTTTCATTTATATTGTATGCATGCATGCTCTGTGCACTTTAACTGCGTATGAACCATACAAGTTTCAAACTGTTTTATAAGAATAAGTGTGTCAGGGAAAAACAAACGATCTAAAGTGATTTGCATTCGATCGGTTTTCTAGTACATCTTAACGGTGATTCACATTCTAGTCGATAGTAGATTGTATGCAATAAGCATCGATAAAACGTTTAATTGATACTCGGCATGAAGCAATATCGATATTAATCGAAGTTTAGCTATTCAAAAGAACGAAACATTTTGTGTATGGGGATCACGATGAACATTCTGGCCAGTTTCGATCACATCAGACGCAATGCGTCGAGACGGTGTGCCAGGACCGCAATACCCCCCTATTGCACACGAAGGCAAGCACGAAACTACTCCCCTCTCTCTTTCAACCATGCTGACAGCAACCTCTTGTACTATACAGTGTAGCAGTCTTCTATGGGCCAATTCGTTCGAAATCGATCACTTTCGTACCTTCGGGTCATGAATTTTTTTTGGTGATATTTAAATATATTTTAGCCACTACGAAATTAGAAATTGAGTTAAGGGTGTATACCCATTCCAAGCTGTCGTTTTATACAAGTTACATGATGTCTGTCATGTTATCTTTGATTTTAATGAGAGCTTCTAGAGGCCAAAATAAGACGAAAATCAAGAATACCAATTTGTTGATCGAGGCTTCGTCGAAAAGTTATTAACATTTAAAGTTCCGCCCATACTGAATTTTTTTCTAGAAAGTGGGTAGGATTTCGGGGGTATGTCTATTCACCAAAAATTATTGTAATTGACCCCCATAACTAAAAATAATTTTTCCAAAAAGATTTGAAAATTTTTTTTCCTGTCGAAAAATTTCACACGTCGAATTTTTTTTCTAGAAAGTGGGTAGGATTTCGGGGGTAGGTCTATACACCAAAAATGATCGTAATTGACCCCTGAAACTGAAAATAATTTTTCCAAAACGATTTGAAATTTTCTTTTTCCGTCGAAAAATTTCACACTTCGAATTTTTTTTCTAGAAAGTGGGAAGGATTTCGGGGGTATGTCTATTCACCAAAAATTATTGTAATTGACCCCCGCAACCGAAAATAATTTTTCCAAAAAGATTTGAAAATTTTTTTTCCCGTCGAAAAATTTCACACGTCGAATTTTTTTTCTAGAAAGTTGGTAGGATTTCGGGGGTAGGTCTATTCACCAAAAATTATTGTAATTAACTACCGCAGCTAAAAATAATTTTTCCAAAACGATTTGAAAATTCTTTTTTCCGTCGAAAAATTTCACACGTCGAATTTTTTTTCTAGAATGTGGGTAGGATTTCGGGGGTAGGTCTATTCACCAAAAATTATTGTATTTGACCCCCATAACTAAAAATAATTTTTCCAAAAAGATTTGAAAATTTTTTTTCCTGTCGAAAAATTTCACACGTCGAATTTTTTTTCTAGAAAGTGGGTAGGATTTCGGGGGTAGGTTTATACACCAAAAATGATCGTAATTGACCCCTGAAACTGAAAATAATTTTTCCAAAACGATTTGAAATTTTCTTTTTCCGTCGAAAAATTTCACACGTCGAATTTTTTTTCTAGAATGTGGGTAGGATTTCGGGGGTAGGTCTATTCACCAAAAATTATTGTAATTGACCCCCGCAACCGAAAATAATTTTTCCAGAACGATTAGAAATTTTTGAATTTGATTGTTAATAACTTTTTAACGATACCTCCATCAACAAATTGGTATTCTTGGTTTTCGTCTTATTTTGGCCTCTAGAATCCTCCATTAAAATTTTTTCCAATGTTGAATCAAGTACACGATGAGAAGTAATAAGGAAAGAGTAACAGATGTTAATGAAAGGTTACGTTTTTCACTCTGACTTCCTAGCAATTTTATCACACAAAGGGTGTATCTTATTAGGTCGTAAAGAGGCAACTTTACTGGCACGAGAATAAATTTATTTGTCGTGGCGTTTCAGCCGTTGGTTCCGGTCCTTTTTACGGGAAACGTAAGTTCTCTTGGAAAATGAAAGTAACTTGGAAAAATGAAAAACACAAACTTTCGGTAAATGGCACATGTTTGAAGAAAATACACCGAGAATTGCAATAAATTTCTAGCATCATTTTCAACAACAAATTGGTAAATTCAGTGAAAGTTCTAAACAGTGTTAAGATCTACGTTCCTTTGTTAAAATTTTGGGATATAAGAATTTATAAAACATAGACTTTGGTTTGTTGACTTTTGTCCATTGCTGGGCACACTGTGCATCGAATGTTTAACTCCGTTTAACGAATGATCGATCGACGAACGCGTCAAAATGCCAATGACCGTTCCTCGACGACGGTGTCCAGTTATTTTCGTGCGAAGCAGGTGAAAAGAAAGAAAAAGACCGGCCCCTCGGCGTTTAAATTATCGACTACAGATTGCCTTGAAAAATGTTCGCGAAGGCAAAGTCTCGATATAACTTTGTTATGTAACTCGGTATTGTTGAGCCGCCTACTCGCGTATGTATCGACGCGTATGCCCGCCTATGGCACTTACATAACTGCAAAGAGGAAAAAGGAGGGAGAGGAGGAATCAAAGAGCGACGGAGAAAATCGGTTGGTTTATACATACATAATCTACTTTAAATTGTTTGACACGAATAGAACTTGGTGACGGTAATACCGGTGGTTTCGTTCGAGCGTGAAGCCGATAGCCTCTGCTTGCCAGGACAAATATAGATATTTCCGATTCTCCGGCGAAACGCGAACCATTTTGTACGATTACCAACCAACGGGACAATTAATTTTTTTCACAACGATCCCGCGCGATGATCTACGAATCGACGATGACATCGTTCTCGCGACCAAAATATTTATACCTACCGCAGACTGGTCAGTTTATCTTATTCGATCGCGTAATGGCCACGTGTTCGACGCGTGCGACTGCAACGAACTGCAAGCACTTGTACACCCGTACCGTTCGATCCTCCGCATTCCGATAATTATTTCGTCGTCTCGTTTCGACGACTCGACTTTGGAACCGTTTCAGAAACACTGGCAATTTCATTGAATAGTCCTTGGTACAAGTAGACAAGGTATCGCAGTATCAACGATCTCAGTATTGTTTATAAACACAAACGGAGGTAGCCGTGGCTGGCCAGATTGGGTAAATTAAGCAAATCGCGGCTGGCTACCATTGCCAATCGACTGGGGGAGATACACGATTCGCGCCAAGATCCATTCTGTGTTTACAAACACTTTCGAGAAAAGAATTCGAGAAGGTGTGTTTGTCGACAAAATTAAAATATTCCAAATCGTTCTGGAAAAATTATTTTTAGTTGCGGGAGTTAATTACAACAATTTTGGTGAATAGACCTACCCCCGAAATCCTACCCACTTTCTAGAAAAAAAATTCGAGGTGTGAAATTTTTCGACGGAAAAAGAAAATTTCAAATCGTTTTGGAAAAATTATTTTCGGTTGCGGGGGTCAATTACGATCATTTTTGGTGAATAGACATACCCCCGAAATCCTACCCACTTTCGAGAAAAATATTCAATAGATGCCTACATTTTTCCGTGAAATTAAAAAATTTCGAATCGTTCTGTAAAAATTATTTTTAGTTGCAGGGGTCAATTACGATCATTTTTGGTCAATAGACATATCCCCGAAATCCGACCCATTTTCTAGAAAAAAAATCCAAGGTGTGAAATTTTTCGACGGAAAAAAAAACTTTCAAATCGTTCTGAAAAAATTATTTTCGGTTGCGGGGGTCAATTACGGTCATATTTGGTCATTACACATACCCTCGAAATCCTGCGCATTTTCGAGAAAAAAAATCAGTACAGCTGGGACTTTAAACGTTAATAACTTTTTAACGAAGCCTTCATCAACAAATTGGTATTCTTGATTTTCGTCTTATTTTGACCTCTAGAATCCCCCATTAAAATTTTTTCCAGGGGTGAGCACCCTGTATTGCGGTCGAAATTGGAGCCTCCTGGAAAGCATCTATGAAAAGTGGAGCCAATATTTGTAACATTTTTTGGACCATGACACGTGTTACGATTTTGCCGCAGTGTTCGTAGCATGTTGCCGTTCGTGGCGAATCGCGAATCGTGCACGCTATCGTGGCGAGTATCAAACACGCTAATTCTCGATGAAAACAACGGAACGAGCGTTCTATGCGCATACGTTGATCAGGAAACAATTGTTAATACGCCTTCTCGGTGACATGGACGCGTCGTCCTCGAGCGTCGACCATACGCGCGATATAATTCTTACTCTTGATCGTAATTTCGTCGGTTATAAGCTTTCCAAAATATTGGACGGTCGGCGTAGCTTTTTTATCGCAGTCTCGACACATTACCGAGAGGAGAGCATCGTCGTAGGAACGACGAGACGCTTGGCTTTGACGCTTTTTCTCGAATATACCGCGAGGAGCAAAACCGAACACACGCGCGGACTTTTAGCATAAATAATATCTTATTCGATCCTCGAGTATAGATCTAAGGAAAAAAGGACACTGATAGGTATAATACGTTGGCTCCCCGTGAAAAACATTAAACCGGTGACGTCGATAAACCTATCGTTCGAAAGTGGATCAAACGATTTCAACTTGAAAGATCGAAACCAAATGTCAGGCCACCCGACTATTAACGAGGACGAAACTGCAAACTCATCCAACAGAATGCAAAATAGACGACAAGGAAAATGGCTAAAATATTACACATTACGTATACATCGGTTGCGTAACGTTTAAAAGACACTTGGTACAACAAACAGATATGACGTCGTACTCCGCAGAAATTATCGGAAAAACGTTTACTCCGACCGTGTTCCAATTTGTGATTCAAATAACGAAATCCAAGTTCTCGTTAGAATTTTACGGGAATTCACGCCAAGTTCGAGGCGAAGGATTTTTGCGAAGATAATCCTTCGTAGCACCGTTCGACTTTGCTCGTTGCCAAGCGTTTCCCCATCCATCGTTGTAACTTTGCTAAGTGTTTGAATTTCGATATATCGCTTACGAGGGGAAAGTTCTAGTTGTCTCCCAAAGTTTTCCATGAAATTTTTTTGATATGTTCGAGAGGCGATCCTTTATGAAATTACAAAGTAACTCGACACGGTTCCTCTCCGTTTTTGAATAAATCAATGTTAAAGTTTTCTTTTCAAGTGCTCTTGAAACGTTATCCATCATGAATGTTGACGTACACGAATAAAAGAACGAAGACAACGAAATCATACCCATATAGACAGTTACCAGAATCAAATGTAATACTTAATATTGCTCTTTTGCTTGCATTGTGTAAGGTAAATATACCTTTTGGACGAAAAATATTCAGGTCGTATTATGGAAAAGATTCGAATATTGTCCATAAAAGATCAGTTTCCAGAGCGGTGTGCACCGCGCGGTGGTGCGGCACCGGAGCGCAGAGCGGTTCTGCGGCAGGGGTGAGGTGCAAGGGTCGCGTGTGCGTGCGTGATTCAGGGAGGACGTGCGCCTGCGCGTAGCGTGCACTGTAAACGCTTCGAGATCCGCGTGGCGCGAGTTAGAAGTGTCTTCGCGCTCTTAGTCTCGCCTCGTCCATTCGTTCATTCTCGTTGTCTCGTTGTCTCGTTGTCTCGTTGCGTGGGAGAGCCCCGGAGATCCGTACCCGAAGTCGCGGCTAGGGGCTGCTTTTCTCATCTCGGCGGTTTCCGACCCTCGCGGAGTAAAACGGCGGCCGCGTCGCCGCGAGCATCGACATTGGCCGGCGCGTCGCGTCTCCGTACGCTCTCTCTACTTTCCGCTTAATTTGTCATTGGACGTGTAGCCAGCGCGACGATGGAGCCCCTCGTCCGTCCGTACCCACCCCATGGCATCCCTCGAGCGCAACAAACTCCCGTTCCCGTCACCGCAGCGTCCTCCCGCCTCTCTTGAAACTCCTCGATCGCGGCGACGAACGCGTTCGTGTTCGATGGAACGCTCGCCGTCGAGAACGAACGTCGAATCGACGGCAGGTGGGAACGCGAGAGGATTTCGAACCCGTTGATCGAAACATGTCCGAGGAGATCGTTGCCAGACGCGGGACCCCGACCAGCGAGATTCTCGACGAGAACGGCGGAAGGAAACGGAGCACCGCGCAACGAAGATGGCGGATACTCGCGAAAGCGTTGACCGGTTCGCAGGAACCGATCACCGCGGACAGGGACGACCAGGTCTCGGTACGTCGTTTCACCAGCTTCGATCTGTTGGAGATCGATCGTTTGGAGAACGCGCCCGACGATCCGGACTACGGCTGGCACGAGTACTCCGCCATTTTGGAGAACAAACCGTTCAGCGTGCAGATACGCCGTATAAAGAAAAGCTTCACCGCCAACGAGCTGATCGGCTTCAACAACACCGGGAACGTTTGCGTATGGCCGTCGGAGGAGTGCCTGGCGTATTATTTGTTGAAGAACCGGGAGATCTGTCGGGAGAGAAGAGTCCTTGAACTCGGCGGCGGAATGAGCTGTTTGGCTGGCGTGATCGCGGCCAAGTACTGCGATCCCAGCGGCGTCACCGTCACGGACGGCAACGTGACCAGCGTGGACAACGTACGTTGCATCGTCGCTAGGAACGGCATGGCCGATTTCGTTCAGTGCCGCGTCGTTCAGTGGGCCAAAGCCGCGACAGCGCTAAGAAGGGCCACGCAGGCTAGGGCGTTCGGCCATACGCACCCCAACGGCCTCCGAGTTAAGGTGACTTCACTTACCCGCGAACGCGACCGTCTAAATTACCACCAGGGGTTGCTTTCACGCTAAATCAAACACTAACAAGGGAAGTATCCCAACTGTCGGACTCGGAGATTTTGTGAGTCGATAGCGTCGCAGGTCCCTAACGATACGTCTGAAATATTAGTAGTTGCTCGATAATTCCATCCCTTCTGTCGATAACCGAGTACCAAGCTAAATCTCGATCAGACCAAACTCGAACAGTTGGGCTCCTCCCCTTCTAAACACGTTACGGATTTTGTTTCAATTATTTACATAGATTTATCTAGAAGAATAGTAATCTGCCAGTTGTTATCAAGTATATCTTTTTGGTCCGACCTAGATCGCCCACGTTTCGGTGATTTTGTACTTTGACGAATATTTCTTACGCGTTCCATCGCGAGCTATCTCCTAAACTGGACGTCTTTTATGGATTCCGAACCATTCTTTCATCATACTTCCTCGAGCAAGATGTCTGAGTTAATAATGAATACCTTCGTTCCCCGGGAGAAAAGCTTCCACCGCCGTTTCAACATTTTTCGTGAAACGCAATATGAAGAAGTATGGTGATCAGCACCGCCGACAGACCCTATATTCTTCGTACGGTAGACCATCATACTAGGTTCCTCCACTGTTATTTGCTCTTCCGCGTTCCCTTTCCATTTCCTGATTACAGATTCAGGATCCGAGGTATTCCGTGCAGTGGTGAATCTAGGGGAGCCCCAAGTAATTAATTTTATGCTCTTCCAAATATTTTTTAGTCTCTCGTCCACCGTGGCTGACAAAAAATTCGAGAATCCCACCCTTTAGGAATTATAAACAGAAAATTAAAGCATTGATATTTTTTCGATCAAAGAATGACTAACAATTCTTTTGAAATTCTCTCTGTGTCTTCGTTTACAAGAATATGGATTTCAAACGATTAACAAAAGATGCAGCGGCGAAGGATATCGAAATTAACGCTCTGTCGAAGCGTATCGTCCCCATCGTATAATACTAAGATCCAGATGGCTGTACTTGCCATTGTTACCGAGCGCTGCGAGGACTGGGGCGAGAATTAACGATAACCCTCTGTAATAAAGATTCTTTTCAATACGATCGATGAGTATTAGGTACTCATTCTTCGTCGATGACACTTATTCTCGAAAACATTGAGGTTGCCACTGTTCGATAGAAACCACGAGCTGGTGAGTGTTTTTCCATCCAGATGAAATGTGACACGATAATGTTTCCAACAATTAATTTAATTCGTAAAGACTGAGTTCCCAGTACATTTCAGAAAAGTATAGGATCAATTACTTCGAGATCTTCTGAATCCCCCACTGCATAAAGTGCCTCGAGTTCCTGAATCTGTAACCAGGAAATGGGAGGGGATCGCAAAAGAGTAAATAATGTTGTCAGACACCTAATGTAACGGTTTACTGTAAGAAGAATATGGGGGTTGTCGAGACTGCTGATCAATATACTGCTTTATACTGCGTTTTACGGAAAACATTGAAACGATGATAGAAGCTTTTCTTCCGGGGAACGAGGGTATCCATCATTAACTCATACATCTTGCTCAGGGAAGCATGTAGAAGGTATGGTTCAAAACCCATGGAATACATCCAATTTACGAGGCAACTCGTAAAGAAACTTCTAAGGGATTTCCATCAAAGTACGATCATTTAGGTCTGATCAAGAAGAAATACACGGGAGATCAATTACCAGGGCGAAACTTGACGTTTGAACTTTGAATGAAAAAAAGAGTCCCCGAAGAAGAAACGTACTATAAACGTTTTTAAAGTTTGAAATCAAGAATTCGGGACCGAGGAAGTAAAATAAAGTGTAAAATAAAACTATTTGGCACTCGGCCCCTTTGATACTTCCACTCTACAATCGTCAGCCCGAAACGCGTCTTCTGGCATTATCTCGCGCGAAGCGGGAACCATTGCCAGCTCATTGTGACATTCGTGACGCGTTCTCGATTAATCCCTCGGCAGTCTGGCTGAACATTTTTAAGTAATTTAAGCAAAAATTTCCCTATCTAAAAATTCGTTGGACCATACGCTGGTTGCAAAGAAGTATTCGTCCTACCAGATCGTTCGCTACCAGACTACTCTAGGTTTAATCGGTACAGTATGTCACGTTTCGCGAAAGAGAAAGAACGAATAGGATTTCTGGGCGCCCATGGTCGGCGTAATGCAGAGAGATCTGGTTAATTCAGACGTTTCCGGTTCCATTTCTACCTTGCGTCCGGTACCCGGCTGTTCAACGTGGACCGCTCCTTTATTTTTCTCGGCGTACAGTAATCTCCAGAACAATTCCAACAGTTTTTACATCGAATCGCGGGAAGTCGAACTTTCTGTTTCTATTTTCAATTATTTTTATATTTGGACTGTATTTGATTAGACGGTAAAGCCTCGATAATTGAACGTAAACTCGAGCGGATCAAACGGACAACCGAAACGCCAATGATTTAGTTTCGGTGGATTCTGGGGGTTACTGTACATCCAGCAACGCAACAAAAGCAACTTTTGCTTAATTCCACGCGCCATATAAACGTTTTTACGTAGAGCTGGACCGGGAGCGGGAACGACGTGGCCAACAACGTTCTGGAAAGTCTGTACGACGTGATCCTGTGCGCGGACTGTCTGTTCTTCGACGAGGCCCGTTCCGACCTGGTGGAAACGATCTACGGTTGCCTGGCGAACGACGGCCTAGCGTTGGTGATGGCGCCCAGACGTGGCTCGACCTTCCAAAAGTTCGCGGAAGCGGCGGTCAAACGGGGCTTTATCGCGCGGCAGATAGATCGTTACGACGGCAAGATTTGGTCCAGGCATCTGGAGTTGTTGGAGCGTAGCCAGGAGTATTGTCCCGATCTCCATTATCCGATACTTCTGGAGCTGACCAAGCAGAAGAGGACGCCGCCCGGATGATGCCCATCGATCCTCGACGAGGACAACGATGACGACGATGACAACGACCATTTCGACGAGAATTTTGGCGAAACTCGATTTTCCGCCGCATTGTTCCTTCGCATCGGCTTAGATACTTACACGTTCGTCCTTGGAACCGTTTTCTTCTACTTTTTACCCTCCGTTCGTGGAAAAAAAAAAGAAAAACAACAGATCTTGCTCGTTACGTTTCATTCCAGTTCGTTCGACATTGTGATATAGGAATGACGGGACTTATCCTACGCGCGTACAGTCCAATACCATCGAATCGTTGGAAGATTATCGAACCTAGCTCTATTTTTTACCTCTATAGTTAATTAACGCTTAAGGATTTCACACGGTTGATCCCCGCTGGCGTTACAAGTTTTTAATCGATAAAAAGTCACGGGCTTCGTTCTCTGAAAGAACACTTTATATTATTAACATAATAGTATTGCAACTCGGGATGTTGGAAAAATTAGAATACATTTTCGACGAGTTAAGATCGTACTGCTTATTTCATCTTTGCGAATGTGTCATAATCGCGTGCATTGTACGCTGGCGGGAATTAGCAGGCTTTGCTCGCCGCGAGATGCGTAGACGGGACGAATCGTGAAGCGATAGTATTCAAAGTACCTGATTTTAGACTGATAGCATCGGGAAAATTGAAATCGCGATCCTCGCAACAGTAACGTTTTTCATTTACCGTTCTAGGCAAAGGTGGACTCGCGTTAGTCCAGTGATTCTTAATCTCTTCGAATTCTAATTCGTAACTAATTGGCGTCGAAATTGGTCGAAACAATTAACGATCGAAAGCAAGAGGATGGTACGTTGAGCTATAAAAGGGTTTAAGAATCACTGTGTGCAATCGATGCGATCGCGTGTGTTACATAAACGCCGCGAAGCGACTCTCACGGAAGATCGGTTATAGGAAAATGTCTGATGGGAGCGATAAACGCGACGAGAGTTTCAGAACGTAAACACCCGCATTACGAGGAATGACACGAATTCCTATGTCTTCGTAGACGATTACGAGTTGATCAGCCTCCGCTTGACAATACCGCGAGTGTTCGCGTGAAACCTATGTAGCTTATTTGGTCGCTAATGCCGATGTAATGCCGATGTAACGCGATCGTTACGTTTATCAAATGTTCCTCCGTTTCTTCGTAGCAAAGACCGAACTTATACGGCATAGATTTCGATTAAACCAGCGTGTCCCAACAGTGGGACGTTCGAGGGACGATCAATTTCAGGTGTACGTTTCAGCATATTCGTGGGGCGTTAGAATTTTTAAAAGGTTGGGAAACGCTGGGTTAAACCAACCAATCGAGGGTCCAAAATGCGTTGGTAGGGAAAATCGATACCACACGATTTTTGTACGAACACTAGAAAAGACTTTCTCACTTGGTAGTTGGTCGACTGCCTATTGTGGTCGCTATTTAGTTATTACATATTTACGGGACGCGCTACGACCATATCGAGACATCGTTGCCAAAGTTCAACGCGCGTTTCATCGTGGGCCTTGTTACTCTATTCCCTATCCCGACGAATTAGTATACATAGACACGCGTGCGTATAATGTTTGGTCGTTTATCGATTTAATTATTATAATTTATTTATTTATTTAGTCACCGTTTGTTCGTTTGCGTGCCAGTGCTCGTGTCGCGCAAATTCGCCAAGTACCGGGAGGTTCTTGTTCAGGGAAAACAGGACGTACGCGCGCGGCTAACTTTTACTGAAATCTGTACAAATTTTCAGTCCTTTTCTTAACAAGGTTAATCACATATAGTTTCAACTATGAGCATTGTACATATCGTGTAATATTCCATGTATCGAGTCAATTAAAAGTGGGCTGATTTCCATCGTGTCTGAAGAATTGGTACCATTTCTTCGAAAGATAATATAAAAATGACCGAAAGTAAACATTAGTTTTCGTCGACCAGTGTTCGAACCACTCACGCAAATCGTTATGAAAGTTAGCCGTGCATTGTTGTAATTGTCCTGTACCTACCGAATTTACAAGGATTTTCTTATTCCTTAGCACGTTTTTAAGCTCCGCCGCGACCGAGTTTGCGACACCGACCCTGCTGTTACCTCGAAGGACCAATCTAGTTAAGTCTAGTCATATCTAGTCGTCGCTACCAAATGTCCATTATATATCGCGTATCTACTACCTGTACCTCTACAAAGAACGACGCGTATGTATTTCTACGTATGTACCAGACGTGTAAGGAAATATCAAGGATAATAAAATATTTTCACAAACGTCGCGTTCGACTATCCGATCTCCTATCCGTGCGTCGAGTAACGAGCAAGTAAACTGCTCAAACCTTCAGCAGAAATCTATCAAGATCGTTTCCATTGACCCTTCCTTATCACTTTTACAACTTTTATAACACGTGGATTAATAACATAAAAGAGACTAAGAGAATCTAGCCCAACACTAGCAACGTAACTGATCTCTTTCACTTTAAGTTGCGTAACAATTAGTATTAGTGTTAAAATTAACTACTGATTTACGACGTCTGGAATTACCGGAATTTATAGCCGATAAAAGGGAAACGCGTGGATCGCGAACGCATCGACGCACGGTCCTTTGGAAATGTATTATTAGTACGCGGTAGATGTTTACTGACCTTCCCCTATGTAGAAACGCAACACGCGGCCATGTATCGCGTTCTCATCGATTTAGAGGACGCTCCGGTTGCTCTATTATTAACCATTCAAACTGCTAATCAGTGTTACCGCGTTGAAGACAATTTTCAACGCGCGACTTCTCGTCACCTTTTCATCTTGGGAATCTACTTCGATTAATGTCCTCCGTCTGCAGTGCCAGATACAACGGGCGATACAGGGGTACCAAAGAAAATCTTCAGTCGAACCGTCAGCTGATTTTATTATTCTTCGAGAAATTTTTAGACGATCTTTCAATCGTCCGATCCACGTCGTGTTCGGACTCATTTTCATGGGGAGAACCTCACCGATCCATCGATACTATTATTATAAAGATAGCCCGTAAAATGTAGAAATTTAAATTTTTCAAACCGATTGATCTATCGCTGTTCAGCGCTCTATTCCTTCCTTGTTTACTCCCGCTATTCCGTTTGCCTCTCCAGGGTCTCGAGTTCCAAACAATTCCTGGAATAAAATCGTTACCTGGTCCGCGAGAGTTTCAACAACCCCCGAGTTACATAAATCGAAACGATCATTACTGTATCGGCGTTAAAGCAACATTCCTTACGTTAGACAATGTTTCCGTCGTCTTTAGAAACCCTCTTCGAGCAAAGAGTACACAACAGACAGAATTCTGAATAATCAAAGCAACGAAGAAGGAAAAATTGAAGTAAACAGAAGTTGAGCATAAATCTACGAGATTCCGGATATTAATAAGAAGCAAGTTCAACGTGATTCCCGTTCGATCTTTGCTATCGACTCACCATCCACTCGAACGAATATCGTGATCACGATCTCATCGACGACGCTCTTATTACGTGGCGCGACATGCAAATCGTTGATTCGAACGTTTCTCGGTCGCGCTGACTTGGCAGCCTGTGCTTAAACGAGCTCGGAACAAAGCTTATTGCCAATGATACGACCGTTTGACGAGTGACCTTGCAATTTAATATGATTTACGTTCCTTACGCATTTAGTACAGGATCGTACATCTTACTGTGAAACGTACACGGTTCGCGACAGAGCTTACATTGGACTTGAGTTATAAGAGGGAAACGTCGTCGAATCACGATAACGAATGAATCCCGATTAAACAGATCTTCGTCGCGTTAAATATTATTCTCTGACGCGTTCTTAAACGTCTAGGCACCAGACTATGCGAGCTCGTTAATAATACTCGCAGCGCTAATTAAAATTATACGAGGTCGTCGGAGCTAAAGTGGATTAACTCGCAAATTTTTCATACAAGAGTTGATGGAACGAGATTAACGCGAATCAAATATTCTTCTTGTTTTTTTATTTTTCCAAACCTTGTACAGTGAAATTCCGATTATCCGGCATATAAAAAAGAGGAATTGGACCATTTTTATGGAGTTTTTCTCACTTTACGAGGTTAAGGCACAACTTTTTGGACTTTCTTGGAATTTCTCCATATTCTACACCAAAATACGCGTTGTTTGCATTTTGAAACTTTAAAATCCTCCAATCCATTCAGGAGTTATGACGTTTTAAAGATACGCTCGAAATATTGGGGAGAGATTTCTAGACTCAAATTATATTTTCGGTAAGGAATTTTTTTCTCGAAAATGGTCAGGATTTCGGGGGTATGTGTACCCACCAAAAATGATTGTATTTGACCCCTGTAACCGAAAATAATTTTTTTGGAACGATTTGAAATTTTTTAATTTCGCCGAAAAATTTCTCCACTTACTGAATTTTTTTTTCGAAAGTGGATAGGATTTCGAGGGTAAGTGTACCCACCAAAAATGATTGTATTTGACCCCTGTAACCGAAAATAATTTTTTTGGAACGATTTGAAATTTTTTAATTTCGCCGAAAAATTTCTCCACTTACCGATTTTTATTCTCGAAACTGGTTAGGATTTCGAGGGTATGTGTACCCACCAAAAATGATTGTAATTGACCCCTGCAATCGAAAATAATTTTTTTGGATCGATTTGAAATTTTTTAATTTCGCCGAAAAATTTCTCCACTTACTGAATTTTTTTTTCGAAAGTGGATAGGATTTCGAGGGTAAGTGTACCCACCAAAAATGATTGTATTTGACCCCTGTAACCGAAAATAATTTTTTCGGAGCGATTTGAAATTTTTTTTTAAGCACCCATCCCCTGTCGATTGTTCTTAAAACTTCGTTTTTGATTTATAATAAATTTGTTGGACACTCTACGGAATCGTTAACCTAATTTTATGTTTTGCTCGAACCAATTGGGGATTCATAATGTTCCAAAAATGCAACAAATTGAAAAGCTTGCGTGCAAGTAGATGAATTCACCCTCGACACATTGTTGTTTTTCAATAATAATAATATGCACTAGACATGGAGGCATTTCAGCTCGAACAACTCGCGGAGGAAACGTTTCCCCGCGATACCGGAAGTCCTCGCGGAGGATATCATTGGTCGTTGTTTCACGGTTATGTTATCGCGCCGTCTCGCATCCTGGATAGATCGGGCTGACTGATCCATAATATCGCGAAAGAATTCGAAGAAACAACGAAGCGAACGTTAAACGGAAACTGTCGGCTGTTTGTTGATCGGGATCGTCGAACCTCGCTCGCCGCGTAAAGAAACGCAGACGCTGACGCGAAAATATTCCGAAAATATCGTTCATCGAGCAAAAGGGAAGCGTGTCTGGTATGAAAGTAAACCATTAGCGAGACTCTTTTTCGACATTTCGCCGCGAATCAACGGAAAACAGTACGGTGGCGTACGGATGAAAAAACATATGGAATCGGATCATCAACGTCCATAACTTGTCTCCAGTAGACGGCTAGGATTTATGTATCGAGCTGTCGGGGGCACGTGTTCTTCTAAATGGACTCCGAAAGCGTAACTCAAAACAAAGACAAGATTTAAAGCGAATAATAGACAACGAATAAAACCAAGACTCTCGTTTTCTAAATCCTTTCTCAAACGATCTTAAAACCATCTATAAATATGTTTAAATTGTTAAAACTCGCGTCGTCTGTATTTGTTTGCTCGGAAGCAAACATTTGAGTTTAATTCGATAGCCAAGGGGTGGGTATCTTCGAGGAGGGTTGCCTTGGACGGTTGGTGGTCGTTTGTCGGTCATCGGGTTGCCATTGTCGGTGTTTCCATTGCTCAGGGGTAATCCATATCGTCCGATGCTGCATCACGTTCGGTATCTGTGATCGTTGTACGCGTATTGGCTTCGCGCAGAGGCTCTCCACGGGCATTGAGGGTCTTCGTAGCTTGTAAACGATATTTGCGGATACTTGTTACGCGCACGACTCATCCGTGTTAACCCTTCTGCGGCTTAAATTGCACGATCGAGGCGAAAAGTTTGGTCCATCAAAGACGGACAAAGTAAACTTGACGCTTCGATGGCCGCGCCTGGAAAGTCGAATGATGATGGTAAAATTCCATACACGCGACAGCGGCCGTCAAAGCGTTAAGCAGCGAGAAACGTTTAAAGCACGGTCGTAGTCCTAGCGATGGGAGCTGTTTAGTTTCGTTTTACGAAACGTCTCCCCCTTCGAGGCGGTAACACGCGTCTCGCCGGAAGGTGTTTACAACCCTCCATGGTAAAATTAGAACGACTCGTTCCTTTTCTTCCCGTTC